GTCCTAAAACATTGTGAGTTTTACTTTATTGAATGCCAATATTTTGGTATTCCTGTAACAAGTTCTGAGCTTGTTCTGGGACACAGTTAAGTTAACCGGAAACAGTTTGATCCTCTCAAGACTTGGCTTTTAAGCTTTGTTAGGGCAGGCTCCGAGCAGTCTTTTGTCTAGGGATAATTTTCCTCACTATTGAGGCAATACTATTAAGAGGACTCTACCTAATGTTTGATGAGTTATGTGAATGATGACATTTTTCCACTCTGGCTGGCAAAACCCCAAACTATTTCCAGCACCACATGAGCCCTGAAAACTGTTTTGTTCTCATCCTTTTTGGAGATTCTTTCTCCAGCCTTGGGTCCTTTCCTCGCATGTTAATCAGCAATCAGGTGAAGGCTTGAGAGGTCCCTCTTCAGATCTTCAGAGCTCTCTTTCTCTGGAACTTTCTCCTCCCTGAGGTTCTCCCTGCAGACATTAACTTCCTTAGCATCCCCCTATCTCCTCAACTCAGGGAGACCTGGATTCTCCTGCCAGAACCCTACAGACCCTCAAAGAAGGAACAGGTGGATCATAGGGCTAACTCCTTTGTCTCAGGGATTACTCTGCCTTACATCCAATGTCTGGAATAAATATTAGGGGTCTGCTCTAATGAGATTACATCTGTACTCACTGATTGGTAACCTAGAGCTACTTGAATTATAAATATATTCATAGTATTATCACAGTCTCCTATAATTTGGCATTGTAACTGTCTTGAAATTTTTTTGCTCGCTCATTTGGACAAAAGTACTAAATAGTGAGATTAGTTAATACAAAATAGCAAGGAAAACATATATTTTATTCATCATAATATCCAGAACCATAGTTTCATACCCTGATTGTGGCTCAGAATCACCCATGACCTTTCTTCCACATAGTAATGTCTGGCTGCCACTCAAGTGTCTTCAGTCAGAATTTCTAGCAATGAGGCTCGCTCAGGAAGATAGGTTTCAAAAGCTCCATGGGTGCTTCTGCCCAAACAACTTGCTGAGAACAATTTTAGTCATAATTATATACTCATAAATACTACTTTTCATTTAGTAACCATTAACTGAGCAACTATTATTCTTATTTATTAAGTGGTGGGAAAGAGATGTAATTACGGCATAAGTCTGGCCCATGAGGAGCTCACAGTCTCATGGAGAATGCTGACCTGAAACAGAAAATTTGGTATAAATCTAAACACCAATATCACAAGTGCAGTGACAGTGATCTACCCAGGAGCTACGCCTGCACAGTGGAAAGCACTGCACCTTAAACCACACATGGGAGGGGGTCAGGCAAGGCATCCTGCTGGAAGCGATACCGGCGCTTAGCAGAAAGGAAGAGTGTTGAGTGTCTGGTGGAAGGAAGAAGGAGGAAAGATATTACAGGCAGGGAGAACAATACGCAGAAACATGGAAAATAAAGTGCAGAGGGATGAAAGTCACTTGGTGATCCTGCATCTGAAAGTGCGGGAAAGAATGGAGAATTTTAACACTGCAAGTACGACAAGTGTCAGATTAAAGAAGACCTCAAATACATTAAGGATATCAGAGTTTGCCCTACAGGTCAGTGCTTCTCAAACATGAGAGTGTGCACAAATCGCCGTGAGTATGGGTAAGAAGGGGATTCTGACTCAGAAGGACTGGGGTGGGGGGGGGCGCGGCAGAGATACTTCATTCTCTAACAAGCTTCCAGGTGATGATGCCAGGACTGCTTGGCCTGTGGACCATATTCTGGGTAGCAAGGTCATGAAAGCAGTCCCCCATGTAACAAGACCAACTCATCTAAGATTGTCAGACTGAAAAACCATATGTAAGCACTCTGGTCGATGTGCCCATGGAGCTCACCGTTTCTGACTTCAGTGACACCATCTTGGGCCCTCCAGACCAGCCCATCTGTCATTTAAATACCAACAAATGATCCCAGTTGATGTAAAGCAGAAGACTGCCCAGGTAAATTCTCTCTGGATTTGCAATCCATGAAATTGTGAGATGTAATAAAAAGGTGGTTGTTCAAGCCAACAAAGTTTTGTTGTGTAGCAATAGATAGCCAGAAGAGAATTTGGTCTAACATGTTCTAGGTGCATATTAGAACCAACTTAGGGGGCTTTTAAAAAAATATTGATTCCTGAGCTCTAGCCCCAGAGATTCTGATCCAGTTGGTCTTAAGTGGGGTTCAGGCATTAAAAGCTTTAAAAGCCCCAAGATATCTCTTATAATATATTCTATATAAATTTTAATGTGCAGGCACATTTTAAGGCTATTTCAACAGGTGATGAAGAACCATCAATCAGGGAGCCGATGTGGCATATCTGTGTTTAATGTAATCATGCCAACATTATGGAGGATATAGATTTGAGGGGTTGAAGACCAGCACTAGGGAAACCCATTAGGAGGTTGTTGCAGAAATCCAGGTCAGAAATGATGGCAGTTTAAGCTAGAGCAATGGTAGCAGGCCTGGGAGGACAGGATGAATGAGAAAGACTCAGAAGACAGACAGTCCTAGGAGACTAGATATGGGAGAGGAGGCAAAGGCAGGAGCTCAGCACAGAGTTTAAGAATACAGCCTGGGTCAGCAACCTCTTTGACCTCAGCCTCAGCAACTTCTTCCTAGAAACATCACCAAAGGCAAAGGAAGCAAGGGCAAAAATGAACTATTGGGACTTCATCAAGATAAAGAGCTTTTGCACAGCAAAGGAAATAGTCAATAAAATCAAAAGACAACTGAGAGAACGGGAGAAGATATTTGAAAACGACATATCAGATAAAGGGCCAGTATCCAAAATCTATAAAGCAGTTATTGAACTCAATACCCAAAGAACAAATAATCCAATCAAGAAATGGGCAGAGGACATGAACAGACATTTCTGCAAAGAAGACATCCAAATGGCCAACACACACATGAAAAAGTGCTCCACATCACTCAGCATCAGGGAAATACAAATCAAAACCACAGTGAGTTACCACCTCACACCAGTCAGAAGGGCTAAAATTAACCAGTCAGGAAATGACAGATGTTGACGAGTATGTGGAGAAAGGGGAACCCTCCTACACTGTTGGTGGGAATGCAAGCTGGTACAGCCACTCTGGAAAACAGTATGGAGGTTCCTCAAAAAGTTGAAAATACAGCTACCCTACGACCCAGCAAATGCACTACTGGGTATTTACCCTAAAGATATAAATGTGATCCGAAGGGGCACATGCACCCCAGTGTTTATAGCAGCAATGTTCACAATAGCCGAACTATGAAAGAACCCAGATGTCCATCAACAGATGAATGCATACAGAAGATGTGATATGTATAGGAATATTATGCAGCCATCAAAAAACCCCAAAACCTTGCCATTTGCAACAACATGATTGGAACTAGAGGGTATTATGTGAAGAGAAATAAGTCAATCAGAGAAAGATAATTATCATATGATCTCTCTGATATGAGGAATTTGAGAAACAAGACAGAGGATCATAGGGGAAGGGAGGGGAAAATGAAACAAGATGTAACCAGAGAGGGAGATAAACCATTAAGAGACTCTTAATCTCAGGAAACAAACTGAGGATTGCTGGAAGAGAGGGGGGTGGGAAGGATGGGGTAGCTGGGTTATGGACACTGGGGAGGGTATGTGCTATGGGGAGTGCTGTGAAGTGTATAAACCTGGAGATTCACGACCTGTACCCCTGAAACAAATAATACATTATATGTTAATTTAAGAAAAAAAAGAATATAGCCTAGGTGCCTGGGTGGATGATAGTGACACTCCCAGCAACTGGGAATTGGTGCACCAGAAGAGGAATAAGAGTAGCAAGCAAGATGAGTTCATCTGGGGATATGTTGACTCTGTGTTACATAGAATACCCAGGTGGGGCTGTCTGCAAGGCCTCTGGGTACATAAATTTGAATGGCAGAGAAGAGGTATTAGCCACAGATATTGATTTTAGTGGCATCATCGTTTAGACAGCAGCTGAAACCAAAAGAATGGATGAGTTCCATCTCTGAGGGATGCCTGTGGACGATACTTCCATTGTTTAGCTCAACCCCATTCCACCCTCTTTTTATGGTTTCTTCCTATTCTCCAAAGGTGAAGAGGCCTCAAATGACACTTGTCTGAGCTTTGGAAGGCAGATATAAAGCAGAGGCCATCCTCTTGCAGCTCTCTGCTGACAAGTAAGGTCATGCGTTCATGAGTGGAGAAGCAATTGCAAGGCTAGACTCAGATGGGCCAGAGGATAGTTCCCTGGCTCTATTCCACCCTTTCATATCCACACCTGTTTCTCCTATGGCCCCATACACTCTTAGGATCTTCTATCTTCTTGCTCTAACTATGTGTCCATAATCTGAAAGTTAAATTAAATTTTTTTGTTATGTCAACAGTTATTAATTAGCACATTAAAAATCACCTAAGCTACTTAAGAAATTGATGCAAAGGTCCCAACCCCCAATATTCTGATTTAACAGGTTCAGGGTGTGGAATCTTTGTTTTTGAAAACATTCCAGGTGATTCTTTTTTATTTTTTAAATTTTAGGTCAGGAGGGGTAGAGGGAGAGAGAGAATCCCAAGCAGACTCCCTACTGAGCATGGAGCCAGACTCGGTTCATGACCTGAGCAGAAACTAAGAGTCAGACACTTAACCGACTGAGCCACCCAGGTGCACCAACATTCTGGTGATTCTAATATACAGTGAGACTTGAACTACTGACTTTAACGATACATATGTTAATCTTGGTAATTTTGGCATAAACCACAAAAACTTGTCTGTTGATCTTCACTGTGTGGACCATGAAGTATGGTGGTTATCTGGTTTTCACAGAAGACACAGAGGGATATTTATTTATCTTGATTTATTCAAGTGAAACTTAGGCTAACCAAGTCTTCTTGAATTCAACAGCCATATTATTCATGTTTATATACCTGGGAGGAATTTCTTGCACCAAGTAGAGGAATAACAAATAATTATAGAAAGAATATTTTTTATTATTTTTTTCTAAATAAATCGCATTAGATTTAATAGTTCCTTTACTGATTCTTTGTGCTGAGAAAGGGTATTTTCATTGTCCCCTTCATTCTTAAGATTAACAACAGACTTTTTGTACTCTTCAACTTCTTTTGTAGCAAGGAGCTCTTCTTTATTTACTTCCAGATTTTTCTCAGCAGCTTTCATTTGGAGAAGTGTTTCCAGAATATTTTTTTCAGAGGAGCTATCGTTCCATACATACTCTTCCATGTCTGCTTCAGTCTTATCTTTCTCCCATTCTTCAGTTTTCCATGACTCATGGTATAAAACTGTTAGCAGATATAGTGCATAATCATATTTCTGTCTCTTTAAAGGGCAACTGTTTGTTTTGCTGGTAAGTACATCTGTAGTCTTGCAGTATCGCTCTCCCACAAGTTTAATGAGTTTCTTCTTTGCATGATCATCTAAATTCAAACTGGAAAGTTTAACCCTTAAGGTTACTACTCATGCTTTGGGGTTTCAAATGGTCCTGCTGAAACTTAATCAGTTGTGTCCATTTCAATGGAAAAATGCTTCTCACATTTCTCATCACCGTCCAGTGCAGCTGGCCACTCAGTGTAGAAATCTTTAAGAGTTTCACGGTGCTTTTTAATTGCTACAGAAGTTAAATGCAGAAAATTGGGGATCTTTAATAGTTCTAGATTTCCCTCCTTTGCCATGCACACCTCCCTTTTTACTGGATAGCCCATTCGAATGGGAAGAGGCACAGCAGAGGGTTTAAATGGTGCTGCAACAGGATAAACACTAGGCCAATCTTGGTCAACAGTCATTTTCTCCACCCTAGGAGGTAGTGCCTTTCTTCTCAGCAGTCTTTTATATCTGGGTGTTCTGTCTGCTGTATGTGGGCTTGGTATCATGGAGCGGGTGGCCAGAGACACAGAGGTACAGAAAGCACGCAGGGTCCTGGTCCCTGGCTGAAGGGCCAGCCACGCGGAGAACAAGGCAGCCGCCCTGGTTTCAAGGACCTTATTATTTTTTTTATAAAAGATTTTATTTATTTATTTGACAGAGAGAGAGATCACTAGTAGGCAGAGAGGCAGGTAGAGAGAGAGGGGGAAGCAGGCTCCCCGCTGAGCAGAGAGCCCAATGCGGGGATTCGATGCCAGGACTCTGAGATCATGACCTGAGCTGAAGGCAGAGGCTTAACCCACTGAGCCACCCAGGCACCCCTAGAAAGAATATTATTAACTTAGGTATTTTGAAGAAGCTTGGCTTCTAAATCTATTTCACCTCCATAAAGCATTTTCATCAGTATTCATTCATTTGGATCTGGGTTTGATCTGGACGTAAGGTGTGAATATAGCACATGAATGAGATAAACTAGGATTTGGATCTTTTGCTCATGCCAATAGCATCTAATCAGGCTCAAGTCCTTCAAGTCAGTATTCTGATTAAATGCCCCAATTACCAGTTAATTGCTAGAGAATAGATGCAACTGGCTCATTTATCTTACAAATTCCAAGCTGGAAACTCAGATGAACAAGAATAATTCTAGCCCCACAGTTAGCTAAATGCCAGGCTAAACCTCGCCACTGTCGCTGTAAAATATGCCCCCAGTACCACAACCTAAGCAGACCGCACCAACGAGATTTCACATTAATAGGGTGTTTTGAAAGGGCGCCATCACAGCAGAGAGCTAAAATCCAATAGTGCAAACCACATGGATACACGTTTTCCAAGATAAATACTTTGGCTGACTCCCTAATTAAAGTCATTAATGATCATTAACCTCACGGGAAAAATGACTCATCTCATGGGTAAAAATATACTTGGGTTTCATTTTGGTCTATTATTTTCTTTCTAAGGCTACAGATGAACTGTCTGTCCTTATCCACATGTGTGCTCAAGAAAGAAAAAAGAAAGTTCTGGATGGCCCTTTGTTGAGTTTTGAAAGATTCAGAGTAAAGCTCTGATGCTGTATCCTGATCTCCCCTAAATAAGCCTATTACTCTCCCTGAGGAAACATAGGAAGCAGAGCGGTTCTGTTGACTTAAACATTACATTGGATGACCAGTGATAAATAATGCAAGGTCTACTTACTTTATTGGCTTGCAAAGAGAAATCAATCCAGGGACTCAAATTTATTGTTTGCATGGATCAACTAATATGCATTGTTCACTCCTGGGTTTTAATCAAATTTAAAATAAATGCACTGTATTATGACACCACGAGAGAGTAAGATGTATACAAGTTCCCAGCACAGAGGCAGAATCCTTCTGTTTTCCTCATTTTCAGTATAGATCTGATGGTGACGAAGAATATTCTATGAATTTCATCATCCACATAATGGCCAGACTGACCTCCCCAACCCCCACTCTTACTTTTGCGCCACAAAGAATCAAAGTAAATTCGATAGGCGAGGGAGGGATGAGCAGTTCTTTTGGTCCTAGGGCTAAAATCACCAGGTGTTGGGAGCATGTTTAACTAAAGTAGTATAAACCTTGATAATGGGCTATCAATGAATGTTCTAAGGCAGATTTAGTTGACTCTTTTCTTCTAAGATCCATCTGGGCCACTCCTCATAGGGCACCTCTAATTTCCACATGAGAACCCCGGGTAAGGAAGACATGGGTAACTTGTTCAGCACTAAAATTAGGGTCTGCCAGTACATCATTTCCTTCATAAACTTTAAAACCACGTCATATGATTTGTTGTCTCACTGGTGTGGTGTATTAGATGCTAAGATGTTACACCCAGATCCTGATTTCAGCATCTAGACGTTCCTTCCCTCAGTTCTCTGGAGTGGCTGATGAAGCCTCACAGTTAAGTTACCCTCTGCGATTTGCCAACAGTTGACAGGAGCTACACTGCACAGTGTTAACTGTCCCTTCCTTTCCCAAGCTGGTCAGTGTGTGTGTGTGTGTGTGTGTGTGTGTGTGTGTGTGTGTGTTGGTCATACAGAAGCCTAGACCCTTGCCTCAATTTTGGGTAATTATGAAGGGCCACCCTTAGCTCCAGAGCTCCTATGGGATCAAAACAGATCTCTGTGGCAACTTCATCAAAATTCCCCTCCGCCCCCCCCCCCACCCGAACCCAGTTCAGCTCCCCTCACTTCCTTCCAGGTATTGTTCCTCAGAGCACTCCCCAATAAACCTCCATCTCAACCTTCTTCTTCTTCTTTTTTTTTTTTTCAAAGAGCCTCAACCTAAACTACATCTCTATCATCTTTAGAAAAACTGGGTCTGATTCAGTTCCTAAAAGCATTCCAGGTCATTTGTATTTGGTATCCTTAGATAAACGATCACCAAGCGGGAAAGCCTCATTGAGTTGAGACAAATTAGTGTTTGTCATCCATCAGACATTACCTAACTGGGCTCATTTAAAATAATATGGTAACTTCTTTCTTTCGATATAGAACCACACCTTTATTTGGTTCGTGAAATGTACATGTATCTAGCATCCATGATTATATAAAGCTGTTAAGTCTCTTGAGCACTGGACAGAGCAAATTGTTTTCAACACTCAGACACTTTAGAAGCACTCTTTGCAAAAACAGATATGCTAACTACAGATAATTTCCTTCTCTGAAGCAGATCATCAAAGGTGCTCATTGAGGAAACATTTTATCAGTTCGTTTTGATTACTGTGTATGTTCAATCAGTGATTTCTTTTAAAAATCCATTTTTATTAGTATATATCTCTTTTCCTTCCATTCACTTCACGTTATTATCACATTACTACTATGATTAGAGATTTCTAAATTAATGCTGAACCACTGTGAGCCAAATCAGCATATATTAATGGCCAAGGCATACCAAATACTCGCTCTGGCCCAAGTGCTTTCTGTGTATAAACTCACCTAATACTTAACAGGAGATTGCTACTGTTATTATCATTGTTTTCCAAATGAGAAAACCTGTTCAAAGTCACAAACCTAGGAAGCAACATACCTAGATTTTGGGCCCAAGTGATTTGGTTCCAGAATCGGAGCCCTGAGCCACCCCACGCACAATTTTCTCAATATCCAGAGATCTAGACCAAGAAAAGGAGAGAATGGGTTAAAATATTTTATAGACTTAGAGAAAAAAGAATTACTCTTATTTAGAGAATTCAGGGAAGGCTACATTGAAGGGATAGTGTTTGAACAAGGTCCTAAAATATAAATCACATTTAGTGGTTATAGTGAATTTCTTTCACCTTTCAAAAGGCCCTATGAGAAAACCTACCAGATTCAGTAAAGAGAAAATGGATAGGAAAAAAAAAAACCAAAAAAACAAAAAAACAAAAACAAAAACAAAAAACAAAAAAACAAAAAAACACCCCACAAACTGTGTTTCTTCATCTATTAATAAAAATAAACCATTATATCCCTGGCACTGTAAGGATTATAAAGACTTCTGATGTATGGTCAGTGTAGGCAGAAATTTATAATCTAGTTGCATAGGTGAGACACTGACTTGAAAAAAGTAGTAACTACAAAGCCCTATATGGTGAATGCCAAATGAGAGCATAATTGGGTGAGTAAGTAAAAGAGAAATGACGGGTATCAGCAACCTTGCCCCCCACACCCCGTCCTCAAGATGTATTTCTAAAGGCTCACTGAAAGACAGGTACATGGGCTTTGCCAGGGGGTGGGGCAGAGATTACTAGGAAATATTTGGAGGGGTAGAGGTGGAAATGAGCCAGGGAACCAGGGTACAGGATTCCTTGAGAGTAGAATGGATTGAGGTTTGTTAATCCCAGGGTTTTCAAGGCTTAACCTTTTTAGCATCGTATGGTGGTGGACAAAACTAAGAGGAGAATGGTAGAGTTCTGTTTTTAAGGGAAGGCTATGCCCTGTGTTCTAGATCTCCCAGGCTTTTCAGAGGCCTCCATGCCCCAAGTAGTATGGAAGGCAGAACTGAGTGGGACAAGGAACATCTCAGAAGTACTAAATAAGGGCAAAAGGCAGACTATGCTAGATTCTGTAAGACCCATGGGGCTTTTGAGTAATGGGGTGGGGTGGCAAATCTCAGTAAGAACGGAGATTGATTTTTTTGTCATCCTGGCCAGTGGAATTCCAAGTCATCTAATTTAATGCTTGGGATGAACTCATTACTTGGATTTTTTTGATCAACTCAGTGTGGTAGTGAAGCAAAATTCATACCAGCTATGGACAACATATATACTAAACTTTATGGGATTACATTAAAATCATCACTGCCTGGGCATGCCAAGAAAATTCATGGGAAAAGATGAGATTTTATAGAATCCTTGAAGATCACATAAAATTGAGAAAGTCAAAGCAGGCAGTGGGCAGCATTCTGATGGTATGTACAAAAACATGAAGATGAGACACACCATTCCTTGGAGACAGGATACTTTGGCACTTCTCCAAAAAGCATGAAAGCCACAGGTTAATAACCCTATCTTTAGGATGGCACCTAAGCTCTAAGCAAGAACTGTCCATATCTGTTTCTAAAGAGTCTCCAACACTTGTCAATGCGTATTAGACTCATTTAAGCTGGAGCTGCACATTTAATTTATCATTATCATTACACATCAACCCCTCACCCCCTTGAGCTATACTCTGGAGTGTCATGGATGGGACACTCCATTTCCACTTCTTGCCATGCCATATTCCTTGGGAGTCAGGGTGAACATGGGTTCCTCCAGTATTCCTCTGCCCCTGTCATAGTCCACCACAGTCAAAACCAGAAAATGCATCCCATGGATAGGAAATGAATTGCACACCCATCCTTTAGTAACAATGGTGGGCTGTAGTCCTTGGGCACGTACTGTTTTTGCTACTCAGAGTTAAACACCTTTTCCTCCTCACCAGTTAGTGAAAAATGCTGAATCTGCTCTTTTCCAAATCATCTGTTGTTTCCATTAAAGGCATGTCAACCTGGACCATCTGCGTGCATCACTTGCAAAACCTTAATTCTTCTATGTAAAGTGGTTCTTATTTAAAGAAGGATAAAAAACTATGGACCTATATTCTACATAAATGCTATTTTAAAATACCATTG